CCCAAACTGATAAATGTTAACAAATATCCCTTACCCTGAACCCCACACAAAAGGGATCTAAAATAAATTGTAGCTTCCCATCCCATTCACATAATTACTTCAAATTGTGTTAGTTTGTCTTTCTAAACCATCAATAAAATCCTAGTGTTTCCTGTGAGTGAGAGAGCTGAAAAGACCCCAGGCCACCCTTCCACTTGGAAGACCTGAAGTCCAGGACTGAAAGGACATGCTAGAAATTATAGCAAATGGAGAAACAGACCTGCTCCGCCTTAGGAAACCTAACTCTAGCTTTATTCTGGTTTCAAATATACTTTAACTGAGCTGGAAATAAATCAGCCCAGCTCTCAAATACACGGCCAAAATTGTGGGATTACCAAGGTGCTTATATATATATACATATACACTTATATATGAGAAAGTTTGCCAAGCATTTAAAAAAGGTATGTGAAAATCTATATTAAAGCCCATCTATCTCCCGAGTCTTATTACATATTACACCAAATATGTGGCTTGGGTTTTGGACACAGACAGGAATGTATACTTTGCTTAGAATATATCATATAAAAGCCAGCAGAAAGTGCGGACAAAACTGATGAATCTAACAAATAGAGAATGCATAATTCATATACTAGTCATAAGTAGAATTATAAATATTAAAGCCACATTCAGCTAAATATAACAACATTGGCTTTCCATAGCACATACACTGCGAAATGTGTCAGAAAATCTATTAAAAAATGGAAGATACAGGAAGGATCCACCCATCCACCAAAACTTTAATTCAGACATTGATCAGAAATCCAGCATAATTAATAAAAATCTAATGCATAATAAAACATTCAGTAATTTTCATATGCAAGCAAGGTTATCTCTGCAGATATAGTTATTTGGTCTGGTAGTATATCTGAATTGTTAAGTAGCAATCATAATGAGTTTCTTGCTTTACAGACTCACAACCACAATTGAGCCTAAAATTTCTGTTGCTAAATGAGACATTCGTTAAGTGAGTTTTGTCCCATTTTATGACTTCTACAACTTTTCTTACCACAGTTAAGCGAATCACTGCAGTTATTAAGTTAGTAACACAATTGTTCAGGAAACTCACTTTCCCATTGACTTAGTTCTCAGAAGGTTGCAAAAAAAGAGATCATATGACTCCGGGACATGGTAATTGTCATAAATATGAACCATTTGCCAAACATCCTATTTTTGATCACACAACCAAGGGGTTGCTGCAATGGAGGTTAAGTATGAAAACCGGTCATAAGTCACTTTTTTCAGTGTAATGTTGAATGGTCATTAAGCTGTTGTAAATTGGGGATTACCTATGTTGCTTCTTAGAATAAACAACAACCTTCTACCAAAATTCAGCCAAGTTCTTCATCACTGATTCAGAGGCAATTCTTGTTTGATAGGAAGGCTAAAACAGAAGCAGTGAAGGAATAATGTGTCAGGCCTGCAATTATATTCCTTTTAGAATTTTGGCCTGCCACACTTT